TGCTGGTTCAACAGGCAAACAATGCTGGCGGGTGGTTTAACTTGCATTTCTTTAATTACTAGTGAAGTTTAAGATGTTTTCATGTGTTTTTTGTCATTTTTAGTCTTTGATTTAGTGCTGCTTCATGCCCTTCATACATTTCCTTTTTTTTCTATTGGGGTAGCTTACTTTCTCTTACTGATTTTCTTTAAAGTTTACTATTATAAATATCTTTTCTTCAGATTTTTTGTGTTTTTTGACATCCACAAATATAATGGTGTCTCTGTTCTCTAATTCTCACAAGTGGGCACTATTAGCAGTTTATCAGAGGCTCAAAAAGGTGACACAGATAGTAGACAGCAGAGGTGGGATCTGAAACAAGTCCCATTTAATTCCAGAGTCTATACACTCTTGTCAGTTACTACACAGTAGTTAGCAAAATGTCCCAAGACAGCTGTCTCAGTAACACTTGGAATAAAGACACAGACCTACTAGAGAACGGACTTGAGGCTATGGGGAGGGGGAAGGGTGAGCTGTGACAAAGCAAGAGAGTGGCACGGACATATACACTACCAAATGTAAGGTAGATAGCTAGTGGGAAGCAGCCGCATAGCACAGGGAGATCAGCTCGGTGCTTTGTGACCGCCTAGAGGGGTGGGATAGGGAGGGTGGGAGGGAGGGAGACGCAAGAGGGAGGAGATATGGGAACATAGGTATATGTATAACTGATTCACTTTGTTATAAAGCAGAAACTAACACACCATTGTAAAGCAATTATACCCCAATAAAGATGTTAAAAAAAAATAAATAACACTTGGGAATGCAAATTGTTAGAAATGCAGACTCTCAAGCCTTATCCCAACGAGTCAGACACCGAGGTGGGGCTCAGCCGTGTAGCTTAGCCAGCCCTCCAGGTGCTGCTGGTGCCCGCTTAGGCTGGAGAGCCACTGCACTACACTACCCTTCCTTCTGGATTTCTAAAGTGGCTGCACTAGATTAAATGAGGTAGAAGGAAAAACAGGGAAATGGCAGCACTGGGGAGGGATAGAGAAGCCCTCGGCTGCCCCAAGGTGTATGTGCTGTCTTCTGTTCCACGTGCCTTCTCTGCCCTATCCTCCCGGAGGCCGGCCTCCACAGACTGTCCTCGTGTCCTCCTCCCTCACACCCTGGCCTCCCTGCACTGAGGTCACAGTACGAACACTCCCAGTCCCCTTCCTTCCGGGTTGCCATGAGTTGCTGCATCTCCTGACCCAAGGCCATGGCTCTGGCAGGGGGCCCTATTTCTCAGGTTCTGGTGACCACTTCCTTTCTTGGCCCATCTGCTGTTAGGAGCGTAAGGGCTTTACACAATCCCTAATAGTCCTTTTTTAAAATTTTATTTATTTATTTTATTTTGGGCTGCGTTGGGTCTTTGTTGCTGTGCACGGGCTTTCTCTAGTTGTGGCGAGCAGGGGCTACTCTTCATTGCAGTGCATGGGCTACTCACTGTGGTGGCTTCTCTTGTTTTGGAGCACGGGCTCTAGGCACTCAGGCTTCAGTAGTTGTGGCGCACAGGCTTAGTTGCTCCGCGGCATGTGGGATCTTCCCGGACCGGGGCTCGAACCTGCATCCCCCGAATTGGCAGGCGGACTCAAGCACTGCGCCACCAGGGAAGTCCCCCTAATAGTCCTTTATTAAACTCTCTACCCAGCTTGAGGGTGCT